ATACCCTAGTTTAATTTGTTTTCTTTTACGGTATATCAACCTCAATGGGTTATTTAATGCCGACAAAATTTTTATTCCTGGTAATATTTTTTTTCAAAAATGTATTGCTGGTAATAATTTTTCCTCAAAAATTTAATGATGGTAATAATTTTTTTACAAAGTATTTCTGGTATTAAAATCTATTTTTAAATTTTCATAGTGTTTTGACCCCAGTTTGTGGGATTAACTATTTGTCCATAGCTGGGACCCTAACAGGTGCTACTACCTAAGGGTAGACCTGGGAACACCAGCAATTAAGAGATGGTTCCACGCTCCTCAAAACTTGAGCAGAGGCCTTGCTGTTGGACGTAGTTTATCGTCTTACCCAGGACGTGTATACCCTAGATATCACAAAAGGCAAAAAAAAAAAAAACAGACAGCGCGTAACGAACACTTCTCATACATATATATGTATATATATATATATATATGTGTGTGTGTGTGTTTGAATAAAAAACAGACTACGTTAAGATTCCATGTAATAAGCTATTTCACCATAACCCCTTTAACAGGATTCTGGATCATCAGACTTTACTTCCAAAAGCTAAAATGAAAAGAAATTCACACGTTTTGACGGACCTCATCAAATATACGTAAAATTAACGAAGTGAGGAAGTGAGGTGTGAGAAAGGATATGAGTGTGTCATATGTATCATTTCAATTTCCTATTTTTAACCCCAGTGTGTCGGCTAGATGTTGCTCAAATTTCGTCTCGTCTCTAGATATAGATGGCTAAGGGGTGAATGAGAAGAACGACATTAAAGGAAGAAGCTACAACAACCCCAATCAATTACACAACAGGTTTCATTCAAATTCTTAGACGCTGTTAATTCGCGTTACTTTAACGTGCATATTTGGGAGGTTATGGTTTGATAAATATCTAAATGTTTAAACAATCTACGAAGAAATTAATTTGAAATTCGGTGGAGTTTTGGGTATTTTCTATGAAACAGTCGATTGGAAAAATTCATAGACAGTACATTGAAAGAGTAATCCATTTTATATTTGGTAATCTTTTTATTCTACTAAAACTTTTATCTTATTGCTTGTTAGGTTGACATCTATTCGTTTGATTTTTGTTCATTAAGTAAACTCGTGATTGATTTATGTACCCAATTATCAACGGTTATTCCCATTTAAGTAATTTTATCATCAATAATGGGGTAGTATATTTCAATCTCAATTAAAATACCAATCTAAACTTTACCTTCGTGCTATTTAAAACTCGCTTCCAATTGGAGAATATTAGCGGAGAGATTTGGATGAGATGTCACTAGCAGAAAATTAGGTCCTTCTTTTACAATCTTTTATCTACACATGTCTTAAACCCCTATTTATATCCACATACCTATATCTTCTTATATGCCTATGAGTTCCTATATACGCCTACACACACATTCACACGAAAAAAAACATATGTATATTTCCATATTTACACATATACACCTGCAGAGAAAACGCATATCCATATATCTCCATACATATCTCCATATACACTTATACTTACATATATACATATACACATAAGGACACCTGTATATCCATATACATCCGCACATAGATATTTACACACCTATATGTATACACATACACAATACACACATATATGCATACATACACACATGCATGCATATACATACGTAATATGCAGCATATCTACATACACACATATGCGTTAATTTGCACTTACACATATCTACACACGTACTTGTCCCTATCCTCATGTCCACCCGTGCATCCACTTATGCCTGCGTTCGAAGACTATCTCAGCATTTAATTACATTATCCATATCTTTACACACATAATATTACCCGCTCTTTCATATTTATGGCAAAACATATAAGTACCTATCTAATTGTACACCTCCACACTCACAAAAAAAAAACCCTGGTATGCTTCTTTTTTTATATAAAAACATATACATGTACATATCAACAGGTGTCTCAGTGTTCAAATACATTACCATAGTTGTATACATACAGTCATGTGTTAGCGTTCATGTGTGCATAGTAATATTTCTAAAAACAAAGGGAATACAAAACATTCAAAATTGCTCTTCCTATATGATTATTTCTCATTGTATTTGCTTAGGTTTAGGTTGTTTTTGTGCCGGCATTTAAAAATTAGTTCATTGTGTCTATTTAGTAGTATGTCTGGATCTTTCTCCTTTAAGCATAAGTCGCATCTGTCTCTGAAGTTTTGGGGAGTTCTGGCTCTTGATATTATTTTCCACTTTATTTGTGGTGTTAGGCCACTCTCCAACACAAACCAATAATGATTTGATAGTGCTGTTTGGTTCTTTTTACACTTATTTTTGAAGGATTGGCGATGGTTGTATAGTCGGTGTTTCCAATTTCCCGCCGATATTCCTATGTATATCTTTTTCTCTTCAACCTTTTCTTTGGGGAAAATTGTTGCTTCATATATTGTGTTCTCTGTCATGCATATTCCTTCAACTGGGCACTCTGATCCTGTCCTGCAGTTGCATGTTGATTTTTCCATTCGTGTTGTATCCTGATTTTGTCTTAGATTATATTATATATATATATATATATATATATATATAAAAACTTGTATTCATTTATGTTTTTTATATCTTTTCCTTTCTTTTTTTCTTTCTTTTCAAAGACAGGCTTGAGCTATGCCTGTTCAGTGGGTTGCATTCAATTGTGGAGATGTTAACCGATGTCCCAGAGGTGGAAGTTAATCTCCCGGACAAAGAAGGAAATACGCCTTTAATATTTGCTGCACAAGCAGGTAAGCCCACTTAAAAAAAAATTAAATCACCCTCCTATTATTCAACCCTATATGTATGCCTTTTTAATATATCTATATGTCTGTACACATAGATATACAAATACAACATCAATTTAACGATACCCTGGATTATACCGGATGTCTATTTTACCAGGCAATTCAAGGTAATGTGATAATTTTATATTGCAAATATGAACCATAAATTATGCGCAACGAAAGGAAGACTCGATGGAGTACAGTACTCTTTAGAATATACTCGTAAAACACTGGTACTTGGATCGCGCCAACCAGCATCTTTTTTAACTGGTAGATATGCACGAGTCGTAATACATGTTCCTAGTAGCATTGATATGGTGGTTTCCTTAGCGTAGCACAAAGCCGAAAGTAATTAATCTAGCGAGACAAGATTGTTGAAGTGCCCATGTTAGCAGTAATATACGCAGAGTATGATAAGCTGTCAAACATCATCCCTTTTAGGCTGGTTTTCAGTTCAAATTTCCTTCTAGACTAGACGCAATTGTAAACTTGCAGCTAATTTCTCGGTCGAAGTCCCACAACTATTTCACATGTTTTAATGACCTGAAAACAATCTAAAAAACAGATTGAATCACATCCTAATTGATTAAAGTGTTGGTTTGTGAATCTGGTGATATAGTGATTGTGAGTTCAATCCATGAGTTAGGCCGTGTGTATTTGAACTTGGAAACGGACGTGCAATAACTGAGAAGTACTAAATAAAAATAAGAAATAGACGATATTGCTATACATGAGCAATGGAAAGGGAACAGTCTATCCCCGTAGATTAAATAAAGGGTTAAGTTTCCCTGTAGTTTACCCTAAACGATATGCATCTGAGCAAGGCCGGATGGCACAACGGCCAAAACGTTGTGATAACAACAACAAAGATGACGACAATGCAGTTACTGATATAACAGAAGTTGTCTGTATTTATTCAATTGAAGTTAGCCGAGGACATGAAGGGGTAAAACAGGCAACAGGAAGACACTCTTCAGACCACAATTATTTGGGCGTTTTTGAAATTCAATTTGTCAGTGTGCTACCAGAGATGTAAAAGAGGATACATTTATAAAGCAATTGTTTTATGAAAATTGAATCGAAAAATAAGAAAGAAACCAATAAAAATCACCGCATTTCGCTATTTACGCGGGTTTTTACTACATGGGTGTGCTCAATTATCAAGTTAAATGACTGTTAAATAATCAACTTATTGTTCGCTACAATTGAGTGATGTTTGTATTAGATTGCTTGAAAACTGAAGGAGTTTTTAGTTTAAAATTGAAATCGATTTTTCGCTTTTCGTGATTTTTCGCTAAACGCAGTGGCGTAGAAAAAAAATGAGGTATCGTTGAGCTCGTCATGATGTAAGTGACATACATACCGAGTTTGAAGGAAATCGGAGGAAAAAAGTTGAATCCATCGTTTTTTGTTTTTTTTTTGATCGGCTTTATCGATTTAAAAAAAATATATCGATTTTTTACGCTAAGAACCTATCTCTTACATAGTACAATGTATATGCCAAATTTGACCGAAATCGGTTGGATGGATCTCCAGTTAAAAGGTATCACACAGACGAACATCCTCTATTTATATATATATATATATATATATATATATTAAGAAATGGACAAAGTCCGACAATTTATTTATTAAAGACATTTTTATAATAAAATAATTTATAATTTAATAAATAAATTGTCGGACTTTGTCCATTTCTTAATATATGACGTCATTTGTTTACATTTGATACGCCATGAGCAGTTATGAATGTACAAGATTCATGGAAGATTGAAGTTTATAAGCAGTAAATTCGACCTTGCCAACCGAACGATCCTTTGTGGCTGAGAGGTTAGGCACGTCAGCGTAAATGACGGTTCCGTATAGGATGCAGGTTCGAATCCTGTCAAAGGACGAATATTTTCTATGACATTCAGGCCGGTAAATGTTATTTAATACTGTTTATTATAAACAGAGCATTTACTTAAATACTTGTATATATAAAAAAAAGAACGTTAAACATAAAAATGTCTTTAATATATATATATATATATATATATATATATATATATATATATATAATGTCTCTTTCTTTCTTTCAGGCCAAGAAGAATGTGTCAGACTTTTGCTACATGAATTTAAAAAAATCCGAGTGGACCACGCAAATAAAGCTGGATTCACAGCTCTAATGAAGGCTGGTATTCAGGGACGAACAAAATGTGCCAAATTACTACTTTTCGCAGGTATGTACAATCTATCGCAGAAAGAAATAATCCCTAATTTCGAACTCCTACATTGCAGTTGCTCTCCATGTTTTGTTTCTTTGCAATTTTGATAAATTCAGAAAAAAAAATGTCAACATCTATGTTTTATTTCTAACACCGTTTGTTTCACTAACATAATTTCTTTGACTTCCACCCGGATCACGATAAACTACATCCGCGTCCTGGGTAAGACGATAAAATACATCCAATAGCAAGGCCTCTGATCAAGAGGTTTTGAGGAACGTGGAACCACCTCTTAATTGCTGATGTAACCAGGTCCACCCTGACCCGAGGTGGTAGTAGCTGTTAGGGTCCCAGCTATGGTCAAAATGTCTAAAAACATTCACCTCATCTCTTTACCAGTATTTGGTCAAAATAACTGGAAACTGGTCTGGGCGCAGGGAAAATTGGATTTTCTATTTTGTTTCCCTACTGTATTAGTATGAAGAGAACACTATCGAACTTGATCTAATTCCTAATTTTCTCAACTGATAATTTTTAGGGTACCTGACAGTTTTGTTGGCAATAAGATTAGCAGAATGGGGAGAGGATTTATGAAAAATATTATTTAAGATCACGATTTAAGAAAAAAAAAGCAAAAAAAAAAAGCAATGTTTGACAATGTTAAATAATATTTCCACAGAATGCCTGTCTTCAAGTCATATTTTTAGAAAATTCAAGTATAAAAAAAGTATATAAATCTACAAAAAATTATAAGTCTTTGTACAGACGTTGGTTGTCTTATAATGAAAAAAAATGGCTGTCTTAGTAATGAACGCGTCAAAACGAATGAGACGCCACCAGTGTGAAGGCATGCATGAAGTTAAATATAACTTGAAAAAGACAGACATTATATTGAAATATTGTTTATCATTGTCAACCACTGTTTTTTTTCTTTTAAATCGCGTTCTTCTCTGAACTGTTGAAATAGATTGAAAGAGTTACGTCAGTCATTTTCTTTTTTTATTATTATTATTAGTAGTAGTATAAACTATCAGGACCTGTGTAAATTACACAGATTTACTAATAAATCTTTTAATAACTACACTTGGTACACTATTTACATTATTTGGACTATAATCTTTGTCGCCATATTCGCTACAACGTTTCGGCCGTTGTACACTCCGGCCTTCTTCAAGTGGTTGGAATGTCGAACTGAACCCTTTATTTAGCTCACTGAGGTAGACTGTTGTAGTTCCACGTGCCATGTTTAATGGATGTCAGTAATCAGTTATCTCTTGTTAAATTCCCCTCTCCGGGTTCTCCTCTACCTTAACCGGGTATTGAACTCGTACTCTTTGGGTCCTGTCACTGGATCTAACCAACACCTTTATCCACTGTGCTATGTGTCCTTGAGGCCGAAACGTTGTAATAAATATGGCGACAAAGATGAGGACAATAGTCCGAATAATGTAAATAGTATATCTCATCTCAGAAATATAGACATACACTTGGTACTTTTCAACTTATGACCGTTTCCATAGAGTTATGAGAAAAGTGATATCGTCTCTTTTAGATTGTTAGGTCGTGAAACGAGATTTAACCCATCACTACAAACAATTGCCTTTATCTAAGATCACCTCCCCCCCCACACACACTCTCTTTATGTCTTACTTCATGTGGATACCAATTTGAGATTTTAATGGATAATATAGAACAACTTTTCAAAAGAAACTCACATTAGGATGCCTGTACTACGGGGCGGATGTATTCTACTCAAGGGATGGAATTTATTTCCAGTTTTTAGTTTCCGCAACAAATTGCTTTGATCTAAGATGGACTCCACACACCAATCCCTCTCTCTGATTTTAATTTCAAAAGGTCACTTGCAGTTCATGGACAAAATTGACTTAAACAGATTGTTAGATCACAAAACATGATTTAACTCATCATTACGTACTACTGCCGTGGAAATTAGGCAAATTGAAAGAGAGAGCAGCGCGCCAAGAACTTTTTGTTTCCGTCTCTGACGCTCTACACAGACTGGGTTTAATATGATTAGCATGTGATACACCTTACATATGTATTTATACATAGATATTGGGTTGGTGCATAATTATCAGGCGTTTTTAAACAATATTTATATTAAAAAAATATATAACAATTCAACAATGACATTATCAAATGATTATTCCGGAGCGTATTATTATCAACACGCATTTTTATAATCTGAAAATAAAATATTTTTATTTAAAAAAAAAAAAAAAAAAAAGTAAACAAATGGCAATTTTTATTAAAAAAACACACCTACAAAAAACGCCTGATAATTATGCACCAACCAATAATATAATAATAATAATGATCTGAAGATTCAATAATCATAGCTCTTGTGGTTTCTATTCTTAAATGATTGGAGATGTTAACATATATATGAATTATCTTATTGAATTAATATAGATTACAGTAAATATATCGTTTAGTATCACAAATTTGCTTGTCAGATGCCTGTCCTTAAACAGTTGGACGAATGTCTCTAGATCGTAGAATTACGTTCGTGAGTTAGAGTAGTGGGTGAGCATCATGCCCATACGTTGGGAGTCTCTTTTTAAGCTTGAAGGCTGAGTCAGGCAAGCCGACTTGGGCTCACATCTAGATACTTGGGTGGGGACAATGGGAGACCCTTCTAAGCGGACAGGGTTATTCGACCTGAAAAGATATTTAGCTTCGATCCACGTGTCTGGTGTCCCCTATGAGATTTGCTGTCTTTGTGGATGTATTCGGCATCCTATATTTATAGACCCAGCGTCAGGTTCTCTTTCAACTTGCCTAATTTCCACGACTGTTGACAACAAAGATCATCCATTATCTTATGCCTATTGGCTTCTTTTGACTGTATGGATTCATTTCGCGTCTGAACACATCCAGTCTTCAATTTATGTCTACTTTTTTAGTTAAATGTTATTTAATCATGCATTTTTCCATATCCGAAAAAAGAAAAAAAAGGTGTTCCTAGAGTTCCTTGCAAGTCGTCTCGCCACTTCGTTGTCCGCTTCCCGTAATCTCAGCACTTCGTTGTCCGCTTCCCGTAATCTCAGCACTTCGTTGTCCGCTTCCCGTAATCTCAGCACTTCGTTGTCCGCTTCCCGTAATCTCAGCACTTCGTAGTCCGCTTCCCGTAATCTCAGCACTTCGTTGTCCGCTTCACGTAATCTCAGCACTTCGTTCATCAGGACATCATCCAACACCAGAGACTCATTATTAATATTATTATTTGCAGGGGCATCACCAAAACTTCGAGATTTTGGTCGCAAACTTTGCGCAGAAGAATGGGCTCATTTTACTGGACGCCATGACTGTGCAGACGCAATAAGCAAATTTACGAAGGCAAAACGATTTGTGTTGAGAACTCGTTTTCAGACGACCAGAAATAAGAGCTGTAGTGAACCGGATCTTTCTATACAAGATCAGAGTGATAACGTTGATACCAATGGACAAAACTTAGACAACGGTTCTCATCACCGGAATCGACAAGGCTGGTTCCGAAAGAAATTCAAGAAAATCTTGCATATCCCCCATGACGCTTTTTCTCGACATGTCACTGATTCAGATTTGGGCAGCAGCCCGTTCCAGATGATCGCCAGATGTGTGTCTACGCCTCTGATTCCTGGCGCGATTTCGCCGTCCGATTCCCCACCGTCGATGCGGCGAAACAACAGTACCGAGTGTGTGAAGATACCACGGGTGGAGGTGACGTCTGCTGACATGGCTGTCGTATCGAGGCAGCTTGACAAAAAAATTGAAAACAACGCTAAGCACATTGACATTGTGGCCAGGAAATCAGCAGATCAAAGATGAAGAAAGATTATTCAGTGATGTTGTTTTTTTTTGTTTTTTTTTTACCTCCTGAACATATAATTCTTCTAACGCCTTTCTCGTTTTTGATTGAACCGTTTTTAATGAAGACACAAATGCGCTACAGACATGCGCAGAGACGGGCCCATTTTTTTTTCTTAAATCTTTTGGAAAGCGAAAGAGAAATAAGATAAAAAATTACAATTGTGCTGATTATATATATATATATATATATATATATATATATATATATATATATATATATATAATTTATTTTGTTCGGTTGTTTAATTTTTATTCATTGAAACTATATTTATTTGATTATTTTGTTTGGTGTTGTTTTTAATTTGTTTGTGATCAATGATATAGGCAAATTTATATTATCAACATGGCTACGATTTTGTAGGGTTTTTTCCTCTCTCTCTAAGCATCCTAATTTCTATAACTCTGACCTTTTTTATTTTAATCTTTAAGTTTTCACACCAATATTAAATCTTTCACTGGAGATCAATAGACAAGTCTCTCCAGCATACCTCAATGCGCCAACAATCGATTATTATCTTCACATAAATGGTTTTGATAATACTATCATTAATTCTTCCATCCTTTTTAAAGGATTTTTTAAAATTGTCCCAAGTGCTTTGATAATGAGGAGAACAACTGTGAGCTTTATGCTTCAATTATTCAGTCCTCTGGCAAGGTTCAAATTTTGTTGTTGGCGGTTGTGGCTTTTACTTTTATTTTCTCGTTATGATGACCCCTCCCTTGCAGACGTCCGGTGTTTTGTTTTTTTTTTAATTTTTATTTTATTTTTAACTGGAGATTAAGTGATAAACGTTCTCTTCATTTCTTGCAGACCTCAAAGTCAGCTGTGGGTCTGGTCAATCTCTGTTCTTCCTCAAAGTACCAATTCATTCCTTGCCCACTTGCATTTTTTTTTTTACCGCTAAACAATTTGAGATTCCCACCAATCGTATTTAGTGGTTTTCATTGAAGGTTAAAGTTTCCTCAATATGTAAATATTCAGAAAAATTATGTTATTAATTCTGTCATCTGGTTTCTATTCTCCATAAATTTCCATTATCTTCTCACTGCTTTGTATCGGTCTTCAGGAATGTCACAAACACTCCGATGAGTTCTACGATGTTAAAGGTCATCTTCCAATTATTCTGTTGTATATCAATTTTCAAACGCTGCTGCTGATGGTATTGGTATAGTTTTCACAGTGGAGGCTTGTATTTCACTAAGTCGTCCTAAATTAGGTTCGACGTACAAAACGTTAGGAACTTGAAATAAGAGTTAATGACGCAGCAATCTAGTTGTGATGGTTGATACTTCAATGCCCGACATCGACTGACTCACTCAACACCACTGAGCTCAACTGGCGACCACTACTACTACTACTTATTATGTGTGGGAGAGTCTATTAATAATAGAATAGGTACGTTCAGGTATGACAGTATTATCATCGATAATAATAATAATGATGATAATTATTTTTGACTTATCTCCACTACTTAAATTTACTTAAAACAAAAAAAAAAACGGAAAACTTTTCGCGTGAGTAATTTTTGTGGATTAGGCTTCCTTGGGCCCTCCTCTCCTTGACATTTGTCAATCCAAAAATATTGATTTTCTTTTTTTATCATTTTAGTAAATCCTTTAGTTCATAATATAAGTACAATGTTTAATTGGTCCCTTAAAGAGTTATCTGTATTTTGTATTTCTTTAAAATGATCAAGTTTGCAATTCTGCCGACGTCATTGATAACTGTGTACTACTAATGCTGTCTTTTCCATCCCTACTCCAACACGTGCTATTAAGCAGTTATCATTGACGTAAGCAGTTTCAAGCTGCAAATATGAACAAAATAAAGATAACTTTTTAGGAAGTCTGGGATCAATTTGACATTATATTTATATTATGAACAAGACCCCATCACTTTTAAAATGTTTTTATTATATGATGAATGCCAATTTTTTTTTTTTTTTTTTTTTCAACATATAATGAATAGTAATTTATAAAAATTGTTCAAAAAATCATTTGTTTTTTTTTTGGGGGGGGGTTGCTTTTTGGGGTGTTTTTTTCCCCCGAATGGACCAATTAATTTAAGTAGTTCAGACTTCCCTGTTATTATTGCCCTTTGTGATTGGTTCTTATAAATATCCTGCTTTTCATTTACGGTATAATCAAAAGCTTTACATTAATTTTATGATGCATTTTTGTGTATTTGCGAAAATGTGACGAAGTCTTCCTTGAATATATCACCAATTTTCAAGTTCTGACCTTATTTTTACGTTCATAGCATTTACAGCATAGCCACAGCCACACGCACCTTGTCACTGCCCTCATCGACCTTTCCACCTACTCTACCAAACTTTAGTTCGGCTAATGAGCTAAGGAGTGTTCGTCACAGATTTATAAAAGGGGGAAAAAAGACAATTGTGTTCAGTAAGAAGAGGAAGAGGTTTTTGTGTTGCATGTAAAAACCGGATTGGACTAAAATCAGTTTTTAACAAATTCATGAGTGAAAAATAAATAAATACATAAATAATACACTAGGCATAAATAAAAGGGCAGATGATGGTAATGATTCTTTGATGCCCTCAAAACATTCTGAATTGATTTGAAGAATAGTAACCAAGTTTACAGTTGTTGTCAGCATTTTAAAATTAAAATCCTCTTTTTTTTCCTCTCTCCTCTTCCTCTCTCCTCTTCTTCCTCTCTCCTCTTCTTCCTCTCTCCTCTTCTTCCTCTCTCCTCTTCTTCCTCTCTCCTCTTCTTCCTCTCTTTTCCGTGACTCATCTCTCTCTTTATTATCTTCTTCTTTATTATCCCTCTCTTTCACTTTACTTTTCGCTTTCTATTGTCTCACTTTCCATTACATTATCTCTCTCTCTCTCCTTTTTCTTTCTCTCCCTCCGCGCTCTCTTTCTCTCCCTCCCTCCCTCCCTCCGCTCTCGCTTTCTTTCTCTTTTTCTTTCTTTCTCTTTTTCTTTCTTTCTCTTTCTTTCTTTCTCTTTTCTTTCTTTCTCTTTTCTTTTCTTTCTCTTTTCTTTCTTTTTTTTCTTTCTCTTTTCTTTCTTTCTCTTTTCTTTCTTTCTCTTTTTCTTTCTTTTCTTTTTCTTTCTTTCTCTTTTTCTTTCTTTTCTCTTCTTTTTCTTTCTCTTTTCTTTCTTTCTCTTTTTCTTTCTTTCTCTTTTTCTTTCTTTCTCTTTTTCTTTCTTTCTCTTTTTCTTTCTTTCTCTTTTTCTTTCTTTCTCTTTTTCTTTCTTTCTCTTTTCTTTCTTTCTCTTTTTTTTTTCTCTTTTTCTTTCTCTCTTTTTCTTTTCTTTCTCTTTTTCTTTCTTTCTCTTTTTTTCTTTCTTTTTTCTTTCTTTCTCTTTTTCTTTCTTTTCTTTTTCTTTCTTTTTCTTTTTCTTTCTTTCTCTTTTTTCTTTCTTTCTCTTTTTTCTTTCTTTCTCTTTTCTTTCTTTCTCTTTTCTTTCTTTTCTCTTTTTCTTTTTTCTCTTTTCTTTCTTTTTCTTTTCTTTCTTTCTCTTTTTCTTTCTTTCTCTTTTCTTTCTTTTCTTTTCTTTCTCTCTTTTCTTTCTTTTCTCTTTTTCTTTCTTTCTCTTTTCTTTCTTTCTCTT